AATCATCCAAATTATTACGATCTGAATTACAGAGTTTATAATTGGTAGTGGCAAAATGAACAGCAGTTTTACAAAGCGACTTGATGTGTCCCATTTTGCCACACTTGAAGCATATAGCATGATGAAATGCACATTTCTATATTACAGTAGAAATGTATATACTCCCCTCTCCAGTTCATTAAGTGTTGAAGCAGTAATAGAAGCAATAGCAATTTTCAATGTTCTGACAAACTTTTCTGCCTGACCATTAGAACAAGTGTTCCTTCTATCCCATATACAATAACAAACGCAGGTCAAGAAAACCTGTGTAGAAGAAGTCTCTGCCTCATGAGACCTCAGCATATACAAGAGAGAAAGCACGATTCTCAAAACTAAGGAAAGATCTCAGCATATGTGAGAACTAACTAAAGAGACATCACGCTACTGTCAATACCACGAAACATCTTCAGCAAAGTGTTGTTGAACCGGATGAAAGATTTAGAAGACGACCTACTTCGAGATCAACACACCAGATTCCTTAGGGATTGGTCGTACCTGACAGACGCACTCCAAGTGAGGACCGAAATCAGACAAGGCTGCTTACTTTCCTCCTTTCTCTTTCTTCTAGTAGCTGTCCGGATTATGAAGACCTTCAAACCTGATGGGAAGCACGGAATGCAATAGACAGCTTGCATGCAACTACACGATTTGGACTTCAAAGATGATCTAACCCTTCGATTCCATATACACTAACAAACGCAGGTCAAGAAAACCTGTGTAGAAGAAGTCTCTGCCTCATTAGACCTCAGCATATACAAGAGAGAAAGCATGATTCTCAAACTCAACATAGAGAACACCGACAAAATCACACTTGATGTAGAAAATTTGGAAGATGTGGAAACATTTGCGTACCTATCAGATCAGCATCATCTATAAACCTGGAGGATCCGATGAAGACGTAAAGGGAAGGGTTGACAAATAAGGGCCGTATTCTTACAGTTGAAGAACTTATGGAACTCGAAACAACTGTCAACCAAAATCAAATTATTTACGTTTACAACAACCATTGGATACAATGACAGTTCACTGTCTGTTTGAAAGGTGAACATTTATGAATCTATTGATTACGTGGTCACATTCGGTTCTGAAATCAAATACTTTTACTCGTTAAAGCTACACGCTCTAATTTATTGATAATCAACATTAAAAGCTTTTAGATTCCACGTGCACATACAAACTGTAACAAACCAAATTACTGACGGTCATTGGTACGCATCGTGGTAGTGAACGACGTCCCAGTAATTCAAAACCCTACAGCAACTATGAAATGTAGCAAGAAACTTCATATAAAATTGATCAGCGTTTAGTACTACTGTGAACGTTGAAATTCTAAAATGAAGAAAATAACAGTTAATAGGAACTACTGTGAACATTGTAGACACCTTATGAATGGAAAAACGTTTGGGAATCGAAAAGACATTAGATAGAGTAGAGTGGAGAACGGAACGTAAAAACATACATGACATACTATATACGATGGTTTATAGAAACGGCAGAAGTGATGCATGGATCTGAAAAGTTAACAAGATGTTTGGCGAAATTTCAACTGGGCATAATGAATGACTTCGAATTAAATATCACTGATGAATGTGTGATTACTCGTTGCGACTAGTACGCACGGACGGTGCCTGAATGATACTAAACTAAATTTGAGAAAATCTGACCAATTGGTAGTTTCAAAATAGGATCAGGAATTAGAATGATGAATTGGGATCAGGAATCAGAGTAAGGCATTTTACTACGACTGACATAAGTTATAATGTCGAAATGCCACTCCACCATATAGATGGATAAATTTGGCACCAGAATCCAAGTGTCTCTGTGTGGTGTTTGAATGATTTAATGATTCCTTTGTACTTGTTAAATGCTTGATTTCGAATTCCAAATACAGTACATTCGTTCGTGCTTATCTAGTACATCTTGATCCAATTGCATTATTTCTGGGATTCTTAGTTCGTACTATAATTCAAATACTCTTAATTTTCACACTCTGGTTGATTCGTCCATGAACTATGGTCCTGTCGATTACTCAGAAAATAGTCTCTCATTCGATTTATTATAAGCTTGAACAGAATAAAGCAGATATTTTATAAAGTCGTCTCACATATTGGAACAAGTATTTCTGTACGATGATGTCAGTGAATAGAAATTCAACACTAACTATTTAAAACTTATTCTGCAGATAAATAATGGTTTGTAACGGCCAATATTATTAAAACACCAACTTGATTATAAACATTCCTCACCGTAGTTAAAAATAAGTTAAACTGATCAAGTGAATAAACAATGAACTGTTACATAATCGAAGCAATTAAATGACTGTTTTAATAATGTGAACATAACAAATGGGTTATCCAATCACTATATACATATCGTATTCTTTCTAATCTCATCACAAAGTGTCAACTTGCATGGTTATTAAAAGCAAATTGTAAGTCGATTGACAGCTACATTATCGAACATCTTATCTTTTCCATCCACGATTAGAATTAAAAAGTACACACTAATAGAACCTTATCTAAGTTCTTCAAGTAGAAAATTAATTGTCATGATTTCCATCTGTAAAGTATTTTCATATCACTTTTCCATCAATCTAATTGTGATTATATGAACCCTTCTTGATACTTGAAAATCTATTTATTCAGAAGGTTACTATAACCAATAAATCAATAGAAATATAATTAGAGATGGATGGTAGCTAGCGATGGAATCCTGAATGTGTGTTTCATCTTTTCAAGGTTCTATTACATAAAGATAATTTGTATATTTATCCTTTTCTTAAATCGTTTGAAGATGGTGGTAACCTATGAGCGCAGACTGAATTAACGCAGTTTTGAGATTGTGTACATATGATGATTAAGAGTATTCGTTCGTTAAATGTAGTTTTGATAAATTCTGTTCACCCCTCAGACGTTCTGCAATCTAAAGGTTAATTTTCATGAATACTTCATTAAATCATGTTTTGGTAAAAAGCTGACATCAGCAAACGTTTCTTTAATCATACTTTCTGATAAATTATCATCTAGCTTTATCTATCCGAGAATTTTTTTATTTGCTAGTAACAAACAACTGTCACGAATTATGTGGTTTGCAATAAAGTCTCCTATTCGACTTTGATATGACATATCTCATTTGGAGCTTTGAAATAGACACAGAATGGACGAACAAGGAGGATACTTTGAAATGTAAGAGTCAAACCTTCATGATTATGTAATTCTGTATATGTTCATATGAAATATATTACAATATGATTGGATTTCATGGTAAACTAATAGAAACATGTTATCTATCCAATCAACTTTTAAGTAAATTCTAATCAATTGTAAAATAATGACCTTGTCCTAAAACATTTGCAGTTTTTAACTTTCTAATCAGTTGTTTTTCGAATAAAAATATAGGGGGTACAAGATTTGAAGGGAAGATGGAAGGTGAAGCAGGTGGCTGTAAAAGAACAAGAGTAATGAGAAAGAGAAAATTTTTTTAATACATTAAGACCATGGTAAAAGAAAAGGCTGTACCAGTCTCTTTTGTACACATAATTCTGTTTTTTCAAAATGTATGGCTATTGCCTCGGCAATGCAAAGAAGATGCAGTCTAATTGTCTTAGGAAGGCTTCTACTTACCTTGTAGATGAGCTTGAACGCAGAGTCTGTCTTGATTGAGTGACCTGTGTTCACAAGGTGTTCGATTATAGAACTTCTTATTGAGCCGCTGCCTCCTCTTCTTAGCCACGCCGGACAATGTTCTTGAATTCTTTTGGATAAAGTACGCATCGAACGACCTATATACCTAGTTCCACAAGAGCAGGTAAATTGGTAAATGCACATTGAGTTGGTCAGATGCGATAATTTATCTTTCAGATTATTAAATTTATAGAACACTATTATCCAGTGTCTTTGGTTTATTGAAATTATAATTTCTGTTCAACCTCAAGCTTATCCTGTAGTTATGTAAGTCGGATGCAGTACAACACGTACATGGGAGTATGGCAACAAAAATTTCGAATTTCTAAGCAATGTTGGACATGGATTACAGCAATATTACTTCACAACAATTAGTAAAGTTTCCAAATAATTTTGGTTAAAAATACTTTATATTGAGAAGCCGTTCAGAAGTGTACTAATGTTGAAAAACCATCAGTGCATAGAACCAAAGGGATTTAGAAAACAGGCATAAATCTAAGTACGAAAGCTTTTTAAGAACCAATAAATGTGCCAAGTATCACAAATTTAACCAGCAAACGTTATCGATTAGAGAAGACGTTGATCCCAACAATCAAGTTGCGGATTCCAGATTATTTATGTGATAAGTAAACAAACTGGTGAAAGTTATATTTCAGAAATACTCTCAGTAAAGTACAGTTTGGGATGAATTCGCGTCTGAATACATGCAGCACGTATCATGAAATTTTGAAAATTTCGATTGCTTTACACGAAAATCACAGTTTGTAGTTCAGTTTTCACCAAACGACCTAAGTTACCTGCTTTCAACTAATAAGAAAATGAGCCGAACACACAAACAGTCTGTTGACTGTGCTTTTGATGTCCTTGCCAAGTAACCATGAACGTGTATAGAAGTAAAATTATCAAGTACGACGTCACTAATGGTCAGTTGTGACTTGTAGTGAATAGCATTAGTATGGAAGCACCAGGATTTCACTAGAATTCGGTAGTGTTTTCTAGAGAGTTCTGGTAAATAGGGGGTAATGTGTGTTGACACAGAGCGAACATATGTGAACGTAGACTAGACAGGGCGAGAGAAATCTAGAACTTTCGAGAAAATGTCCTTCAATGACCAATCAGATTTGGACTTAATTACATTGTAGAAATATTAGCGTTCTGATTGGTTGTTACCCGTTTAGAGGTCATTGAATAATTTCTCTCACCCACCACTATATAAGTAAGTTAAACAGTCGAGCATTCAACGCATATTGTTGTTCTATTTCTGTTGTCGTATTAAGTATGTCCGGTGGGCAACATCATCAAGCAGTTAGTATTCCCGTGAATCGTGAGCAACGGTCATTTGAGAGGCAGAGACGTGACCTGTTAACTGGCCTGGAACATGGAGGTGGTAATCATCGTGGCAACCTAATCGCACCGTACACGGAAGACTGGCCGAGTACTGTGGACAGCTGGATCAACTCCTCCTGGAGGAGATGGGATGAAGACATGCGACGTTTGAGACGTGGAATGTTCGCACTATTAGTGAGTTTTTCTATTCAGTATTCAGGTGACCATTAATGCATATGATTTCCTGAGATAATGTTTTATCATTTGTGTATGTTAGGAATGCAATAATGCATTGTGTGAGCAGATTTCGCATTAAATTCGAGGAGAGATTTGATGAGCTCGGTATATTCTTTGAATTTCAGCCGTTGGATAACTTCACCCACGGGATTTGGGAGAATCCATTCGCTTTAATGCACCAAATGGATCGTCATATCCAGGATATCCGAGAGAGAATGGGCTCAATGGATGTTCCGTCGACCGGTTCAGTGAGTGACTTTTTGAAGGACGCCTACGAAATAGGTGAGGATGGCAAGGTGAGTCCGTGCTGACGAGCAGGTAGGTTGTGTTTATTGTTTTGTGCAGTTGGTTTGAACATGGCCGTTGATTGACGAGTGTTATTGTGGTTGTTGTTTATTGCGTAGGTACATTTCAAGGTACGATTCGATGCACAAGGTTTCGCTCCTCAGGACATCAATGTGACGTCGAGTGAGAACCGTGTGACAGTACACGCGAAGAAGGAGACGACGACCGATGGTGGGAAGTGTAGTCGGGAGTTCTGTCGTATGGTGCAGCTGCCGAAGAGTATTGATGATAGTCAACTGAAATGTCGCATGACAGATGTAAGTTGTTGAGTTGACGACTGTGGTTGGTGGTGGTGGTTTTGTGTGTGTGTTGTATTTGCAGTTGTTTGCATTCCGAATCATGTTAGAATAGTTGGAAGTCTCGTTCCATCTTGTTCTGTGCGTTTGTTTGTCTGTCCGTTTCAGGATGGTGTTTTGATGTTGGAGGCTCCAGTGAAGGTTGATCAGAACCAGTCGTTGACGCTGAACGAGTCTGGTCAGGTGGGTGTTCGACCGAAATCGGACAATCAGATTAAGGCAGTTCCTGCGTCTCAAGCACTTGTTGCAAAAGGTGAGAGAAGTTGTGATTGATCTGGTGGGTGTGTTATTCTCGTTTGTGTGTGTTGCATTTTCCTAACATTGTATTTTTTCCTATCCATTTCAGGTGTTCATGGTCTATCGTATGTGGATGATGGTTCAGGTGGCAAGCGATTGCATGTTGAGGTTCCAGTGGACCCAGTGTACAAGCCTGAAGACTTGTGTGTGAATGTTGATTCGAATCGTGTTGTGGTTAGTGGACGTCATCATAAGCAGAAGAGTGGTCAATATGGAAAGTCAAGTTCATTTGCAGAGTTCAGTCAGTCGTATGCGATTCCCGAGACAGTTGATCCGTTATCTGTTTCTGCTCAGGTAGTTGGCAATACATTGGTATTGGAGGCGCCATTGGAGAAGCAACATGCGATTACTCATTAGAAGCAAAATAATACGAACGAGATTTACGATGATTCTGATGTAGATGGTGATAATAATAACGGCGATATTTATGCTTACGTGTTTGTGTTAATTTCCTAATAAATAAATTTAATTGTTATTTGCTTTCACAACCGTGTAGTGTTTGTGGCATGAGTCTAGGTAATTTATTCGGTCAGACATCAGGTGGTTGTTTGAGTTATATTCATGCTTTAGGAATTTTCATCTATCAGATTATGATTTAGTGTGAAATGTGCTGTCATGCGAATGGATTTTAGTAGGTTTACGGTGCAGCGAAGCTTTACGTTTGACGACAACTAGTGCTCTTTTGACTACATGAATTTTGGATTTTACGGTTGCTTATGAAGATTAGTTACCAGTATTTGTGTGTAACACACCAATTGAAGATTGGAATAAATTGTGGCTGAATCGGAAGGCTTAGTTCTGGTGATTTTGATGGCAAGTGAATGACTCACATGGAAGTATGGATTACCAAACATCATAAAATTATAATAGAGGCGAAACCACCCCTCCTATATCTACGATTGTTCTCGTCCTTACTAACAAACCGACCACTTATGCAGACCGTCTATGAACTTTTCGTGATCTTAGAAGTGGATTGATCTGGCGATAATTGTGACTTTATTTCTCGGAATTGATAAACTTTGGTCTTTAAGATTCAGTTTGTGTTGTTGCACAACCTCAAGCGGCATATCGATGAGAGTGATTAGACTAGCGTGCTCCGGTAGATCGGAAGTTCGGAACTGTCCGTTTCACAACTACTACAAACAATCACAAAGCGAATCGTCATTATTGTATACTCCTGATAATTGCTTGAGACAAACCAGTGAATGAAACAATATCCTGACTGTTTGTCAAGAAATGTTCAAACCTATACACTGCATAATCAAGAGATCAGATCATATGGTCGTCGAAGTGGGTCTGTTGAACGGGACTGTCCACTCAACTGGATGTTGAAGGAAGTCTGTAATATCAATCATGCGATTTCAGTCACTCTTCAAATGAAATTTTGTGCCGAATCGTCACCGTTACTTTTATTGTTTAGAATTTGACTTTAACTATTCCTAAGCGCATCCAAAAGTTGTTTGTCATGTGCTTCATTTTATGAACTTCACAAAGTAATAGTGGACAGATGAGTAACTGCCACTAGACCACCACTTATCAACTCAGGAGACTGCTCATTCTTTTTCTAACCTTTATGGAGGCCTATGAATTTAAAACATTCGATTGAATAAATCATGGGGAAACCATGAATCACTGACTTAGTAATTATTCAACTGAACCAATAACTCCGCCTGGAGTCCCTCCGGGGGCTACTGCCAGTCCCAAGCCCGGATAAAGGAGGAGGGTTGGACATGGGGTTAGCGTCCCCATCCTGTAGGAAACTAACTCGCTAAAAAAACGCTAACCAGAAAAAATTATTCAAACCTTGTAAGCTCTGCCCCGGGAGTCAGAAGGTCTTCATTTAGAAGAATTATGACGCCTCAAGATGAAAGCCGAATTCCTTCGGAAGTCACGAGCTCGATGCCCCTTCTGACAACCAGAGCGACCATTTATTTAGGTACATGGAATGTTCGTACAATGTGGGACACCGGGAGAGCCTTCCAAATTGCTGCAGAAATGAGAAGATACAACCTAGAGGTACTTGGGATCACTGAAATACGTTGGACACAAGTTTGACAACAACGACTAACTACAGGAGAGCTTCTGTTATACTCTGGCCATGAAGAAGAAAATGCCCCACATACATAAGGAGTTGCATTGATGCTGTCCAAACAAGCGCAAAGTGCACTTATAGGATGGGAATCTCATGGACCAAGGATCATCAAAGCCTCGTTCAAAACAAAAAAAGAGGGCATTTCAATGAACATCATCCAATGCCATGCGCCTACCAACGATGATAATTAAGTCAAATTGAACTAAATTCACTTATCGTCACCGAAGTTGATTTTGACTTCAATTTGTATGTCATCCACTTCAAATAGTTACTTTGAAGTAGCTAACAATGACTTCTCTGGGTTCTTCACATTTCAGCCTCTAAGTACAAATGGTCTCGTGGGGACCTGTGACCCTATTTTGCTTATGGATCAAATGGAGCGTCAAATGCAAGACATACGGGACCAGATTCGTGATGATGACATACATTCGACAGGCTCGATAAACGATTATCTTAAGGATGCCTATGAAATAGGTGAAGATGGGAAAGTGAGAATTCATATCTTATTTCTATTGAACATTTTTACGAAATCACATCAAATACCTAGGACAACCAAACAGTGTTTTGCTTTTTAGGTGCACTTTCAAGTGTGTTTTGATGCGAAGGGCTTTGAACCCGAAGATATCGAGGTGACATCGACTGACGATTACATTAAAGTACAAGCCAAGAAGGAGATAAAGACGGAAGATTCCAGTTGTTGTCGTGAATTTTGTCGCATAATTGAACTCCCTAAATCGATCGACCGCAACCAGTTGAATTGTAGTCTAACTAGCGTGAGTTATGCAAAATATTGTATATGAGACCATTTGTTTTGTTTAGTGTCACTCATATATTAGACGTATCTGTTTCTAATTTGTTTACTTCAGGACGGTGTCTTGAAGCTTGGAGCCCCAGCTAGTGTACCCGACTATCAATCACTCACATTTAATGATAACGGTCAGATTGCCATTCGGCCTAAGTCACATAATCAAGTTCAAAATGCTCACAAACTGGCAGTCAAGGGTGAGCCAAATACATCTGTACTTATATTATACACCTATTATTTAATCAAGAATTCCAACGTTTCAAATCTATTATTTAATCATCTATTGTTTATAGTTTAGCTCGTTTCTTTATTTCTTCTTAGGTGTTAATGGTTACTCCATTGTTGACAACCAGAACGGTGGTAAGGATTTACATGTTGAAATATCATTGGATCCAATTTATAAACCTGAAGACTTGTGCATCAGTGTTGATTCGAACCGAATTATGCTTTCGGGTCGTCATTACATGAATGGTGATCATTCGGGTTCCTATACTGAATTCACTCATTCATATGAAATTCCGGAAACACTGGACCCATTATCTGTTTCTGCTCAAGTGATTGACAAAACACTGGTTTTGGAAGCACCTCTGATGAAGTGTCATAAAGTGGAACAGTAATAAGATCTGGATAATCTTACTTATTTAAATCAAATAAACTTTATCATTAAATTTCTATGTTATTCAACGTGTATTTTGTTTACCGTTCAAGGAAAGTGGCACAACACTTAACTAGTATCATGAATTTACAAGTACTGTTGTGATCAAGGACGTGAATTACATTTTGAACTACAATTTAATCAAGACACATTTTAATGGAACTCCCTTTAGTTAGTCAGAGCTTGTGATAAGCATACTACATCGTATATGTCTAAAAGATTATACAAAAAAGAAGATGAAATACATATCACGACTAAATGCAGTCTTTGTAGTTATTATATTCAAACGAATGTGATAAATGAGTAAAATGCCACAAAATTGGTAATACAAAATACTTCCTCAAATTAGATGCTTACTGGAATTCATGAACTACAGATTACTTGTCTAGAATCCTATAAACTATATCTTTATCCTCAAATACTGTTCGGAGTCAGAGTACAACTAAACTTTTATGGTAAAAACAACTCTAGATTGTTGAGTGGGTTTCAAACTTTACGAAAGAGCAAATTTTCAACCATATAGTTAGTAAAAATTGGGATTGTTTCGAAAATTCAGCTGTCTGTACTGACGTAAACCAAGTAAAGTTCTTCGCTTTAAACAAATAAATACATTTTCAATACTTAAATATGATCAGTCTAGTTGGGGAGCACTATTACCGAGTGTCAGTGCCTTTAACCGACGCCTTTTAGTACTGAATATCTTGAGGTAATTCTTGTTAATATTGATGTATTGGGTTATTCACTTGTTTCGTACAAACTGGTTTTTACTATCTATTATATAGACCTAATTGTTAGCTAAATAATATAAGAAGGTAGGCGTATAGATAAACTTATTTTATGAATGTTAATACATATTTCTGTAAGTGGCTAGTTATTTCATCAGATATCAGTTCATTACATTTTCCATTAACAATGTAAAATGCAATTAACAAGAGAAAGAATAAACGAAGATCGGGACAGCAATAATTAATGTTTTAATTAGTTCAAGTTGGACTGACTTTCCTTTCAGTATAGATTTGGTCTAAAGGAATATACCTAATCGAGTTTTATTTGCTTAGCACGTCAACATTTCAGCAGAACAAATTCTCATCAGTTACGTTAGTTAAAGTCAAGTAAACTGAATGAACGCTTTTGAATTCAATTGTGAATCATTGTTAATAATTTTCTACTAATGTTTAGTCATTATAAAATTCATCTACAATATAGTTCTATTCATCAAAATATAACAAGAATAATAAAATAATAACCTTCAACTATGATACGTCTTATTTGCAAATTCATTGACTGTTCAATCACACTATGAATATGAATAAACCCAGAACAACAATTGAAGCAGAATAGTATTAATTTATTATATTTTTTGGTTTATCAGCAACTCCATACAAAAATACTTGTATTAAATTGTAGCGAAAACCTAACAGTTCTACACCAACAGTTGAAGCAAACAACCAAATCAAAGTAAACAATGCAATTACATTATGTGCATTCAACAGTCAGTTTATAATGAACCAAATGAATGTGATCAAATATTGTCATCATCTTGGAGATTTCTAAGAGAATACTACTAGTAATTAAAAATGAAGCAACAATAAGAATACATGAATCCAATTTATTGGAGATTGAACAGAGCATATATAACCATCTATTCAAAAATTAATATTGTTATAAATTATTAAGTGTGAAAGTTTTGAATAAATCTACCAATTATAATTCTCAATGAGTAAATGAGGGAATCTAAATAAGGAATCCTTGTTCAAATCTTCCTCTTAATAACAAACAAGAACCTATCAGAGCCAATCGATGATAAGCCTAAAATATATGTTCTATTCAAATCTGACTGTAAGACAATCATAAACCCGACTTAATGATCAGAATTTAAAAGTGACTTACAGGACTCGTTCAATATTGATCACTAATTAGAATGATATTAGTAAGTCTTTAGTAATTATCAGAATGAGTTTTGTGGAGATTTTAGAAATTTCACCGGTTGAAATCATGAGTCAATTGAAGCTAGACAACCATGGAAAACCTGGAAGTACTGGATGGCCGTTTCATCCTAGTATGGGACTCCTTAGCAGTGCGCATCCACGATCCCGCATCCCGCGAGATTCGAACTTTATTTCAATCTAATTTAATTTTAAGAAATTCTCAACAGGGAGGCGTTTTTTGAGAAATTTCATACACATAGTTCCCTTAATCATTTTGAAAAGAGCAAGAACAAAGATTCTAGCAGAATAGCATGAATTCATTTTATTTCGTAGGTGCGATCACCAAACATCTCCTTGATACAGGACATCAGGTAGATACCTTACAATCCTTTAGGGTGATTAATAAGCAGCCAAACTCCAGTCTTCTGAAGTTTGCTGAAGCCATTGCCATCAGGCGACAAAAACCTGACCTATGTATTCAAAAGGAGACGGTGGTTAATCTTTCCTTACCCTGGTGACAAATATTCCTTCACTGAACCTTAAAATTTTTTTTCCTCTTTTTTCTGTTGCATTTATTACATCATTGGTTCTAATTTATTTTTTCAACTATCTTTCAAATTAATAATCTTTCAACTGAACTCTAATCACTATATTCCTATCAATGTTTATTCATTATGTAATCAATTGTTTCTAACCGATTTTTTGAACTGTTGTCACAATTAATGTTGTAGAATATTCTTTCACATTAGGTATATATTTACAATATTCTGTAAGCAATTTAAATCCATTATGCAATTATGATTTTTAAATATCGCAGGTTGTAAGCGGCTGACGAGAACCTACGAAATAAAATGAATTCATGCTATTCTGCTAGAATCTTTGTTCTTGCTCTTTTCAAAATTCTTAACACTTTCGTTAGCTTTGTGACTTTTATTTCCGATGATAATTAAGTCAAATTGAATTAAATTCACTTATCGTCACTTCAAATAGTTACTTTGAGTTTTGTTAATAAAATATTAACAAATTTCGAAGAATCCCTGTCAGTACTGCAGTATCAACAAATAATTAAAATATTAATTTCATGTTTGTTTAGTTCACAGTTGATGCTCATTAAGAAATGTAGATGTATTCAGTTTCGGATTTATTGTCATTGTCTTATTCGATGTAATAGAAATAGAAATTCATTTAGAGTGGAGTTAGTTAAAATTTGTTAATTGAATGACAAAAGTATCCTGATTCTCTCTTGGCTTTAATAGTAGTTACTTTCACAAAAGAGATTGGTGATGAAACTCACAAGAATTTCTCTTTCTGTTCGATGGTCGTTAACCGTTCCAATATAATACTAAGCACTGTTGTTCCTATAAGGAAAACAGCTCCAACAAATTATCAAATGTATTTAAACAACCGTTGAGTAACAGACAGATACTGGATATTCCACATCTCAACACAGACAAAGAGATAGTTCAAATACTAAACACATTCTATACTCAAATAGAAAAACTAAAATGATTGCCTGTTCACAAACGGTAAGCATACGGTTAAAAATAATCGAAATCAGCTCTATGAAATATGAGCAGATATGTGAAAGTAAGGCATGGATATATGAAGGTGTTAGTGATAAGGTGAAGGTCACTTTCAGGACAACATCCCACAAAATGTTGTGAACACGATCAATATCATTAGAAGAAAAATAAGACGTTGAAATGAATAAGAATTAGAACGGTTTTTAACACACGCCCTTGATATTACACTGAAGTCGCTCCGTTAGTCGGATTAAAACATCGTATGATGTTGTTATTCCGTTGTACTATTTAAACTTGGATTAGTTTCGATTTGGTTATTTATTCTCTGAAGTAGTGGCTTACACTAAGTCACGAAACGTCCGAAAATCTCCTTTTTCTACTCATTGGGATGTTACAAGTATACTATTTATTTATAACAATCTACTCAATGCTCAGTTTATTCAAAATTACCAGGTCAAACCTTGGTAATGAAACCTACTAACTGTAAATAAGATTTTCTAGCTTTAGTAAATGAAGTGAGCTACAATCTGTAGCTCAGGTGAATGATTTAGGCGGAGTTTCGTTCTCTGAGCTGCCTGATTCAGTCGTCGAGTTTTCACTGTTCTTCTGAACAACATCATGTGCACAAAATTCGGGTAGAAGTGAAATATTCGAATTTCATCAAATATCACTCAATCAGAAAATCATAATCAAGTATGGGACTAAGAATTAGATAGAAGGGAGAAACAATCAAAATAAAGAGATACACAATGACAGTTTAATAGTCAACAATAACCAGTCAAGATCGAGGTCGATGGGACAAGTTCTTAGTTATATGGGGAGAAATTCGTCGAAAAGAAAACTCTCTTCACTGAATAATCTTTATTCTACTTCAATAATTAAGGGTTTTAAATATGGAATATAATGGTCTGTAGTCTAATAAATTTAGATGGAAATTTAATATTAGAGTGATTTTGAGTCATAGGTTGTTTATAAATATTAAATATCAAGAGAAAGTTATGTAAAAGTCCAGTGGCTAGTGAAAAAATGTTAAGATGAAAATGATCTATTGAAGAGTGACAATTAACCCACTTGAAAACTATGGAGAACAGAATTATTCAATGTCGTAGTAACATCTAGTTTATAATTCCAACACACTGGAAAAGAGTGGTCAGCAAACACTCACCTGTTTTATTGTTCTTTTGAATTTGAGTTTCCGAGCACCAACTGTCGATATCAGTGTGGGTGTTGTCTTCACGAACCAGATGGCACAGGTGTCCCTGAAAACTTTAACTCGGTGACCAATAAAACTCCTTGTTCAAACGCGTCTGTGTTGGGACATATGAATGCTTCACTTCAGTATTAGACAATTGTTCATACAACACAGTTGAATAGATAAAGCATGATGGTCACGTAGGCTATGAGCAATAAAGTGTGGTGAGACTATAATTTATGGACGACCTTTGAGCAACGCTAAAATTACCTTGAAAATGTCCATCTACTTACTAAAGTTATAAATTAGTGCGAGGGACTAGGATTAGGATTCACAGTCGAACGTTAGAGTTAGAAATTATATTTAATGTTTTCATCACGAACTGACATCAGCTATAATGCCGAATTGGTAACTAGCGAAATGAGTCTATGAATCTTGCGCCATAATATAAGACCTTCTATCTTAAATCTGATTGGTTCGTCCATAAATTATAGTCTCGCCTAGAGGGTTTCTAGTGAGAGATAAGCAACCATGTTTGAAAGTTCATCAACTATGCAATTGATTTGCCCG